TTTTTTTTTTTTTTTTTTTAGATTTATTTATTTATCATGTATACAGCATTCTACCTGCATGTGTGCCTGCATGACAGAAGAGGGCGCCAGAGCTCATTACAGATGGTTGTGAGCCACCATGTGGTTGCTGAGAATTGAACTCAGGTCTGCTGGAAGAACAACCAGTGCTCTTAACCGCTGAGCCATCTCTCCAGCCCCTTTTCCCTGTTTTTTAAAATTGGTTTCCCAGTTGTCTTTGAGTCTGGGTCTGGGCTCCAACCCACTCTGTAGCTAAGGATGCTTTTGGGTCAGATCCATGTACTGCCATTCCAAATGCTGGATGCGGTGTGCCACCTTGGGGGTTGTGGGTTTGTCCTCATCATCCTGTGGTGTGTGGGGTGCTGAGGTTTGGACTCAGGATGCTTGCCCATGCTCAACAACTGCTCCACAGGTCCCCTGCTGCAATTCTGGATTTGGCAATTATATTTCTTCTTTTCTGTTTAAAGATTCATTTGTTCTACCCACATTGGTGTTTTGTCTGCATTTATGTCTCTGTTGGATCCCTTGGAGCTGGAGTTACAAAACTGTGAGCTGCCATGTGGGTGCCAGAAACGGAACCCGGATCCTCTGGAAGAGCCGTCGTGCTCTTGACGTGGCTCTTGAGCCACATCTCCAGCCCACCAGGCAATCCACATATCATATGACTAGGAGGAAGTAATACAGGTTGGCTTTTCTAGAAAATAGGGTTCAGTCTTGCACCTCTGGAGGTCCCCGAGGAACACAGGCCTACCCTCGCAGCTCCCTCTCTGTAGACGATGTCCCTATGTCCCCGCTGGAAGGCATCCGCATTCAGGAAGTCTCAGGTCACTCTGGTTTGGGTTTCAGTCCTGGATATGTGAGCAGTCCCCATGGCCAGAGATGTTTCATTCTCTGGAACGCTGGGTCTGAGGAGCTGGGAATGGACCCAGGGCTCCGTGAAAGCTGTGTGAACTCTCTGCCCACTGAGCCCCACCCCCAGGGTCGGCCCAAGATGGGCCACTTCAAGTCTGTCCCTGGCCATAGGCCTGTTCACACTTGCAGCATTAGTACATGCATCAGCAATGTGCAGCCAGCCCTCGAAGCCGGGAGAGAGCCAGCAGCAGCATGGGGTCTTGATGCATGTCTATAGCACCCAGGGTTTTAAAAACCCTATTGCACAAGGATCAAAAAATATAATATTCTTGCTTTTACTTCTAAATGTGTTTCAGAACACAATGAAAGCATCAGAATTTCTTGATTCTGCTTTTAGAGACAGGGTCTTACTCTATAGTCCAGGTGAGCCTGGAACTCACTCTGTGGACCAGAGGTTGACCTGCCTCTGCCTCTCAGGTGCTGGAAATATACAGGTGTCCACCACACCCAGCCAAGTGCCAGGCTGAGGGACAGAGAACTGAGGCAAACGTCATATTAAGCTACACACAAATATGGAGGCTAGCCTGGGCTACAAGATACCTTGACTGAAACGTTTTTAAAAAAATGTAGTGTTAGACATGGTGGCACACGCCTGTCATCCCACCACTCGGGAGGCAGAGGCAGGTGGATCTCTGTGAGTTTGAGGACAGCCAGGTCTCCAGAGCGAGCTCCAGGACAGTCAGGGCTGCACAGAGAAATCCTGTCTCGAAAAAAAAAATTGTGGAGTGTTTAACTTGACCATTTTCCACAGAGATGACCAGTGACTTACTCTGCCTTCCCTCTCTTCCCAGGTCCCCAGGCCATGGATATGCCCCGAGCAGTAAAGGCACAGTGTCCCTGGCGCCCATGCCTCGTCAGCCTGCTGCTGCAGCTGCTCTTTGCTCTGGGTTTCTTCTCCTACACCCGAGTGTCCTATGACCGACCTGGACCCCCAGCTCCTGGTCGCTCCCCGGGACCAGCCTCCACCCCGACTCCCCCTGCCCCCAGACCTCTCCTCATCTTACTGTGGACATGGCCCTTCCACACACCAGTGGCTCTGTCGCCCTGTTCCAAGATGCTCCCGGGCACCGTCGACTGCCAGCTGACCGCCAACCGGAGCTTGTACCCCCAAGCAGACGCAGTCATCGTCCACCACCGTGAAGTCAGCGCCAACCCCAAGTCACAGCTGCCACCTCAGCCGAGACCACCAGGCCAGCGCTGGGTGTGGTTCAGCTTGGAGTCGCCCAGCCACTGCGGCCATCTGTCAGCCTCACCATGTCCTATCGCAGTGACTCTGACATCTTCACGCCCTATGGCTGGCTGGAGCCGTGGCCGGAGCCTCCAGGCCAAATCCAGGTCAACCTGTCTGCCAAGACTGACCTAGTGGCCTGGGCTGTGTCCAACTGGAACTCCAAGTCGGCCCGGGTGCAGTACTATGAGAACCTTAAGAGTCACCTCCGTGTCGACGTGTATGGCCGAGGGCATAAACCGCTTCCCCAAGGCAACATGACGGAGACACTGGCCAGATACAAGTTTTACCTGGCGTTCGAAAATTCCCTCCACCCAGATTACATCACAGAGAAGCTGTGGAGGAATGCTCTGGAAGCCTGGGCCGTGCCTGTGGTCCTGGGGCCCAGCAGGAAGAACTATGAACGGTTCCTGCCCCCTGACGCCTTCATCCACGTGGATGACTTCAAGAGCCCAGGGGACCTGGCTCGGTACCTGCAGGAGCTGGACAGGGATAGCCTGAGCTACCAGCGTTACTTTCGCTGGAGGAAGACGCTCAGGCCTCGCTTGGGGAGCATGGTTCTGGCCTTCTGCAAGGCGTGCAGGCAGCTGCAATGGGACCAGAAGTACCAGACGGTCCCCAGTGTGGTGGCTGTCCAGAGTCCTGTAGGTGGTATCCCACCCAAAAGTCAGCGACTGTGGCCCCTGGGTGACAGGCACCTTGTGCTGGCTAGTCTATTTCAACTTTATAGAAGCTAGAGTCACGTGGGTAGACGGAGCCGCAATTGAGAGAATGTCACCACTGTCCTGTGGTGTGTTTTCTCAATTAGTGATTGACAGGGAGGACTCAACCCACTGTGGGCAGTGCCATTCCCAGGTTGGTGGTGCTGGGTCTATAAGAAAGCAGGTTGAGCAAGCCAGTAAGCAGCACCCTCCACGGCCTCTGCATCAGCCTGATTCCCTGGACGATGGAGTGTCACTGAGTGAGATGTGTAAGCTGAAGTAACCCTTCCCTCCAGATTGCTGTCCCCCTACAGTGTTTACCGCAGCTGCAGACAGTCTGACTAAGAATACTTGCTCCACACACACACACACACACACACACACACACACACACACACACTCCATTCCAGCCACTGACTCCCCAGGGTCCCTCCTAGCCTCGCACTGGTGGGTGGGGGTCTGCCTCAGGTGCTTGTGGTGCATATGACACAGCTATCCTTGTGGCATTGGCGGTGTGGCACTATCACAGATGTCCAGATGGGACCATTGCAAGAACTGACCTGAGACTTTATTCTCTGACTCTCGTCCTGGGTGATGGTGTCCTTTCCCTGGTGATGATCAGACAATGCCTGGGGGTAACTGTGGCTTTTCACTCTAGAGGAGAGGGGTCTGGGGGCCATCGCAGGACATTGTAAACACTATTACACACAGAGGGGTCTGAGTTCAGATCCCCAGCACCCATGTAAAATGCCATGAACCCCTGCGTTGGGAGTTGGAGACAAGACGGTCCCCGGTGCTCATTGGTCAGTGAGTCCTGCTGAACCAGCAGCTGCACTGTTAGTGAGACACCTGCCTCCACACACACGGGGGAGAGCCTCATGGCCGCCACACACACGGGGGAGAGCCTCATGGCCGCCACACACGCGGGGGAGAGCCTCATGGCCTCCACACACGTGGGGGAGAGCCTCATGGCCTCCACACAC